TATATATATATATATATATATATATATATATATATATATATATATATATATATATATATATACCAGAAATAGCTGTTGTCATTTATAACATTGTGAAGAATCATTTGTAACTCCAGCTTGATTTTTTTAAATCACTTATAGCTACCTCATCCCTGAATTCCCAACTCCAGCAGCTCCAACATCTTCAACAATTCCAGCAACAGCAACAGAGCCAAATTAGCCAGCAAGCACAGGGACAAGCTAGTCAATCCCAGCAGCAACCAACACAGCCACAACTGCCTCAACAGCAACACCCACCACCTCCTCCACCACCATCACAGCAACAGCTTCAGAATCAAAATCCACCAGCTCCAGCTCACCAAACTTCAAGCTCCCCCACAAAGACCAACCTACCTGGAGGTCATGGTCTTCCCTCTTCACTCACATCCTCAAACCCCCTTCAGGTAAGAATTAGATGATCTGCTTGTTGTCTCTTACTTTATCCACCATTGTTTATCTCATCTGTCTTTCATTTGAATGGTTTCTACCACTTTTCAATGGTGGTAGTGAATGATTTCTACCATTTTTAAGTGTGGCCTGATTTTGTTTTGCATAATGTAAGTATTGTGGTCAGCATATTATGTCCAAAACTCTGAATTACTCATTTTTTTCTTAAATAAGTGACTGCTATGACAACTATTATTTAATCATCTTTAGCATTTTCAGATTTTTAAGATGTTTATATGCTCCCCATGCACATATACATGCATTCATATTTTGATTTCACAACAGTCTTTGGACTTTCATCCCAGCATATTTCACATTTGAAGTAGGGATGGTAAGTGTTTCTCTCCAGCAGATGGAATGTGGAACTGGAAAAAGAAAAGGAGAACTATTGTCAGTCCAGGAACTACTAGTTTTCATTCATCTGTTTCATGTTAAACTGTCCTTCCTTCAGAGGGCCAAGAATAGAAATTATTATTTCTTTCCCCTCCCTTCTAATTTTATCTTCATAGTGGACTTAATGTGGACTGTTATAATAAATGAAATGATAGGTTAAAAAGCACAGGGTAGAAATGGGTTTGATGAAAACTTAAGGAATGTCATTTTTCTTCAAGTTTGCTCTATTTGATTTTAAGAAACTCTGGTGCCCATCACCATCTAAATAATTTATATTTTCCTTGTGGTCAAAATGCAAATTGGAGGGAAGAAGACCCATTTCTTTCTCCAACAAATTGATCTTTATCAATTATATCAACTGCTTCATTTCTTATTTGTTCTTATTGTTCCAGAGGTTTAAGTGCTACATTCTTATTTATACCTGCTTGAAAAATGAAGTAATATACTAAAGGAGAAAAAAAATGCATTAGCATTCAGAACTACAGAAGTATTCCAGATTAAACATAAACAATAGTAACACTTAGCCGTTTTGATATTTTTAAAAACAGATACATTGCCTGGAGATGAGGAGGGTAAATAACATCTGGAAAATCCTACTCCACACTTTGCCAAATGTCTCTTTTATGTTCTCAACAAATAAACCCAATGTAATGAATGTTAGACAAAAAGCCAATCAGAGATACCTAAATAGGGAGTTGTGACTGGATGATTTTTTTACTTTCCAAAAAATGTTTGATTACAATTTCCTGAATTCCTGACTATTGGATTGGAGGGCATTAAATATTCATAGATGCCTCTAATTCATTAAATTTAACAGATAACAGATAATCAGAGTTGGAAGGGACATTGTAGGTCATCTAGTTCAATCCCCCGCTCAAGCAGAAGACCCTACACCATTTCTGACAAATGGCAGTCCAATCTCTTCTTAAAAGTCTCAAGTGATGATGGTCCCACAACTTCTGAGAGCAAGCTGTTCCATTGGTTGATTGTTCTCACTGTTAGAAAATTTCTCCTTATTTCCAGGTTAAATCTCTCCTTGTTCAATTGCCACCCATTATTCCTTGTCTGGCCTACAGGCACTTTAGAAAATAGCTTGACCCCTTCCTCTCTGTGGCAGCCCCTCAAATATTGAAAGACTGCTATCATGTTTCCCCTGGTCCTTCTCTTCACTAGACTAGCCCTGCCCAGTTCCTGTAACTGTTCTTCATATGTTCTTCATATGTTTTAGTTTCCAGTCCCCTAAACATCCTGGTTGCTCTTCTCTGTACTTTTTCTAGAGTCTCAACATCTTTTTTTATATTGTGGTGACCAAAACTGGATGCAGTACTCTAGGTGTGGTCTTACTAAGGCTTTATAGAATGGTATTAGTACCTCACTTGATCTTGATTGTATCCCCCTATAATGCAATTTAGGGTTATCATTTAACCTGCATATAAAGTAAACTTAGTGGTAAATGTTGTGGATCTAGTGTAGTGTATGTACATGTTAATCATTTTACTGATTATTCTTTGGCTCTAAGTAAACACTTTGATTAATCTACAGGTTCCAGATGTATTTGGTGGAACAGTGCTGATACACATTTTTAGCAGAATTAAACCCCTATTATGCTTGAAAGGAAAATTGTTTCCAAAGAAACAATAATTTTCTCATTAGATGAGAAAAGAAAGAAAGTACAAATTCAAGTGAAAGGTAGAATTTAGCATTCTGGTTATTTAGAATATCAGCTTTTTCAAGATTCCTTTCATTATCTCTTTGATAATAAATTATCCCTTGGTGATGATTATGTCAATGTCATGACAAGTTTTACCAGCTGATTTCTACATATCATATAATACAATAACAAGCAAAACTGTTTTCATCCTGACCAGTGGATAAGTTTAGATGTATTCCTTTGATAGAAGAGGAAATTGAAAAAGTTTCATTTACCGATATATACAAGAATTTTCTATCATTCAATTGCATTACTCAGATATTTGCCACCAATAGTGAATGCCTACTATTGGGTGAAGTTTCAGGGATAAGGAAGTAGCTTGAAATCTGACTATGGAGAAATAAATTTTGAAGTTGACTGAAGAAGTACACACATTAGTGGCTAACAATCAGTTTTAAGACCTTGAACTCCTAAGACTACTTTTTATGAATTAATCACTTTCCTTTTGCATAGTAGTGTATTTAAATCTGAATCATTATTACAGAAATTACAAAATGTTCCATCATCCTCTTAACAAAATTGTTCTTCTTGACATTGTGCCCAAGAATGCAGATAACATTACTGCAGACTATTTTTAATTGCTCATAAAAATACATTAAAATTGTCTTGCAGAACATCAGTAGCTGGGGTTTCCCCTAGTTATGTATTGTCTTTATCATATGCATGTAAGCATCTGTGTTTGTATATAACTACCGCCAGGTTGGTGTAGTACTTAAGGCATCAAGATGTAACCTGAAGACTGGTGACCAATGCTGCAGAACAACACTCACAGTTACTACATTAATGGAGTCAATGTCCTCGTTGTGCTAGATTCTTGATCTCTAGACTGAAACTATAGACACATCCTCATGTCCGCAGATGAACTGCACAAAAGTATGTCTTATTCAAACTCAAAGAACTAGCATATGTATCATAGGTTTTGTGTGTGTGAGTGTGTGTGTGTGTGTGTTTGTAATGACAGACAATGTATGCTTAAGATACCAGAATATAGCCTGGAGACTTAGTTTTAGGCACAAAGCCAACTAGGTAACCTTGGCCTAGACACACTAAGTCCTAGTAAAAAGCCGATGACAAACCACTTCCAAAATCTTTCTGAGAAAACAGAAACTAGTCTTGGCAGTCCCTAGATTCCAACATTTTGAAAGCATAACTATAAAAACAATATTAATTGTGCAAATATTAAATTTATTGGACCTGAACATAAATTTTACAAAAAACAAAACAAAAACAACCCACCACCCTACTTAGAATTCCTATATACTTAGATCTTCTTTGGTTATGTTACTTTGACTTAATTGCAGATAGTCCATAAATAATAAAGACCTGAAAATAGAAATAGAATGACTGGAGCAAAAGAAAAACAAAGGTAATAGTAACCCTAGCAGACATCTTGGGTGCAATCTCCAAACAACTGGAGCACTAGAATTAGAATTAGAATTATTTTATTTGCCAAGTGTGATTGGACACACAAGGAATTTGTCTTGGTGCAAATGCTCTCAGTATAGATAAAAGAAATGATACATTCATCAAGAGTCAGAATCATGAGGTACAACATTAAATGATAGTCATAGAGTACAATAAGCAATCATATTATACTAGGAAACAATCCACACAAATCATAAGGATACAAGTGAAAAAGTTACAGTCATACAGTCACAAGTGGGAGGGGATGGGTGATAAGGAATGATGAGAAGATTAATAGTAATAGTAGTGCAAACTTTGTAAATAGTTGGACAATGTTGAGGAAATTATTTGTTTAGCAGAGTGATGGCATTCAGGGAAAAACTGTTCTTGTGTCTAGTTGCTCTGGTGTGCACTGCTCTATAGCGTCATTTTGAGGGAAGGAGTTGGTTTATGGAGTTTGTGTCTGGGATGTGAGGGGTCTGTAAGTATTTTCACAGCCCTCTTTTTGACTCGTGCAGTATATAGGTCCTCAATTAAAGGCAGGTTGATAGTAATTGTTTTTTCTGCAGTTGTAATTATCCTCTGAAGTCTGTGTGTGTCCTGTTGGGTTGCAGAACCAAACTACTTGAAACAATCAGCATTAACAAAATCACTATCAGTCAGTTAATAGAATAGAATAGAATGGAATGGAATGGAATGGAATGGAATGGAATGGAATGGAATGGAATAGAATAGAATAGAATAGAATAGAATAGAATAGAATAGAATAGAGCTGGAAGGGACATTGGAGGTCTTCTAGTCCAGCCCTCTTCTCAAGCAGGAGAATGTATACCATTTCAGACAAGTGACTGTCTTCTCTCTTCTTAAAAAACCTCCAGTGATGGAGCAGCCATGACTTCTTCTCTTTTCTTTTTGGAACTTTATTTATTTATGTATTTAAAAATACATAAATGCTTAATAAACAGTGTATTGTCTGGATCAGTTTTTATTATTATTATTATTATTATTATTATTATTATTATTATTATTATTATTATTATTATTATTATTATTATTGTAATTCCCCGTTAGGAGAATGAGCGCATACAAGGAGATGTATTTGAGAGTAGTGTTTGAATAATACACACACAGCACACAGATACACTGTACAGTAAATATAGGTTTTTACTTCCAAAAACTTTTAAGCAAAGTTCAAACACAGTCCAAAGTCATTCACAGGTTAAATCAGTCAGTTTTCAATCCAGGGATAATCTAATAACAAAGTCCAGTATCAAAAACAGTTCAGTAACAGACTTACATCAAATCCATGAATAACAGTCAATTAGAAGAAAAATGGAGGAATGGCAATACTCTTCAACAGAAGGAAACAGAGACTCACTGAGACTTCTTCTGAGACTAAGACTAAGACTAAACAACCCAGGTTTCTGGCTCCATCTTATGGCCGTTTGA